GGCGCCTGTGGTCCCAGCAACTTGGGAGGCGGAGGCAGGAGACTTACTTGAGCCCAGGAGTTGGAGGTTGCTGTGAGCTATGCCACGGCACCCTACCCAGGGGGACAGCTTGAGGCTGTCTCAAAAAAAAAAGAAAAAAAAAATACAAAAACTACTATGAGTAACAGGTAGAACTAGGAAAAATTACTTGGAAAATTAAAGAACAGACAAGGGAGGAAAGATACAAATAATAAAGATAAATAGGCATAAAAGAAACATAAGAAAAAAGGGATAAATGAACTTCTGAGATAAATGTTTAAGTAGTTTGTCATATCATTTGGTACCTGACCAGGAAATGAGAATAAATTATAATCTAAATGTTCTTAGAAATCCGGTGAGCACAACCAAGGCTTTAAAATGTTCTTGCTAATTACTAAGAATTTACCCTTCCTGAATCCCCATATCTATCTACACATATCAATCTGTTACATCTCCACTAGATTATCTATCTGTACTCTTTCCATGTGTAGAAATGCTTAAATAGTCACCAGTTGTTTAATTCTTCTTTTCATCAAACAAAATCTTCTCTATGGCTTTATGCCACGTCTAAAGAACTGCCTACCGTGTTTTTCTTTTTGACAAAACAATCATGTCTTTGCTACTACCAAAATTTAACATACTTCAATTACTTCCAAAAATACTACTCACCGGGTGGTGCCTATGGCTCAGTGAGTAGGGCACTGGCCCCATATACCGAGGGTGGTGGGTTCAAACCTGGCCCCAGCCAAACTCCAACAAAAAAATAGCTGGGTGTTGTGGCAGGTGCCTGTAGTCCCAGCTTCTTGGGAGGCTGGGGCAAGAGAACTGCCTAAGCCCAAGAGCTAGAGGTTGTGAGCTGTGATGCCACAGCACTCTACTGAGGGCAACAAAGTGAGACTCTGTCTCTAAATAAACAAATAAATACTACTCATGAAGGTAAAACTTACTTTTAGTAAATTTGTTAAATGGAAGTTCTCTCAGAAAAGAGATTTTTTTATATCTAATACATTCAGTTCCAGCTATGTCTCTAACCAATTTAAATAGTAATATATGTATCAGTAGTACATGCAAATGAACCTTAAGGAAAAAAAGAAAATTATACCACAAATACATGAAATTCCATCCTCACCTTGCCTCATGAGCATTAGCTGGTGCTCGTGCCTCGCTGCTTCCATCTCGGCCTCCAGTTTCTCTTTGGCTTCTCTAATGTTTCTGTCAACCTGCTCTCGCTGCTGCTTTTCCATTTCATCAAGAGCCTTCCATCGAGATGCATACTCAAATTCAAATGTCCCAGGTTGAGCAAAACGTGGTGGCTGTTCTCTTTCCCTAAATTTAAATTAAAACATACAAAAAAATGTACCCTTAAAAAGTAAGATAAACAAATGAGAATTAACAGCAATAATCAACTTATTAAGCACTTACGATGTTCAAAGCACTGTTGTCAGGCAGGTTACAGGACTAACCTTCATTGCAAAATTGCAATGCCAGTTTAATAGGCTTGATTTTCACAAACTGCAAAGAATGTCCAACTAATAATTTATGGAACCAGTATTCAAACTTATGCAATCTGATGCCATAACCTACATTCCTCTAATCATTACCCCCATAAGGCTTTTCCGGTTTTCATTCAACCAACTATTTTACGTAAGGGAGTCTGCAACATGTAAGCCCAAGTTATATCTGTTTTGGGTTAAATTTTTTTAGTAAAAAAACAGCTACATTTTATATGCCAGATTAATTGGGTAGGCAAAAAAATAAAAGGCCCAACTTACTACAATTACCGTCAATTATTTAATACTTCTTTATCTTTGCTTGACTATAAACAATCAGGACACCAAATATGTCTGTTAAGTACTATATCTCAAGTACCTAGCACATTATATGGAACATATACATTCAATATGTATTTTCTGAATACAAACAAAAAACCGATCAAATCAAATATGAAAATAAAGGCCTGCAAATGTACCTAGAAGTCTTCAACTATTGGCTTAGCAGTAAAAGTACTTGAAAAAAAAAATGAAGAAAAAAATTTTAAAGTACTGATGGGGTCTGGGCATGGTAGCTCATGCCTGTAGTCCCCGCACTCTGGGAGTCCATTGAGGCCAGGAGTTCATTACCAAACTGCTGAGCAACATAGTGAGATTCCCCACTCTCTACAAAAAAAAGAAAGAAAGAAAAATTAGCCAGGGATGGTGGTACCCTCCTATAGTCCCAGCTACTCAGGAAGCTGAGGAAGGAAGTTCTCTTGAGCCCAGGAGTTCAAGGTTACAGTGAGATATGATCATGTCACTGTACTTCAGCAGCCTAGGCTAGCCCCTGTCTCAAAAAAAAAAAAAAAAGTGCTGACAGCACTATAGATATTTCCCTACAGTTATAAATTTTAACTTTTATTTTGGGATGTGGAGGTGAACACGAGTGGGTACGACAAAGCTAGGACAAATAAGAAAGACATCAGAGAGAAAAAGATGTACTAACAAGAAACAATTCGAAAGATCTTCAAAGGCATGACAAAAATCAAAACTTATTTGTATTTTCTCTTTTTAAAGTCCTTAATGGGAAATTGGAAGGAGGAGATCTACGAATTACTAATTTTTCTAAGAGAATTGTTTATTAGCAGTTTCTTTCTTTTTTTTTTTTTTTTGAGACAGAGCCTCAAGCTGTCCCCCTGGATAGAGTGCCGTGGCATTACAGCTCACAGCAACCTCCAACTCCTAGGCTCAAGCGAGTCTCCTGCCTCGGCCTCCCAAGTAGCTGGGACCACAGGCGCCCGCCACAACGCCTAGCTGTTTTTTGGTTGCAGCCGTCATTGTTGTTTGGCGGATCCGGGCTGGGGATTCGAACCCACCACCTTAGGTGTACGTGGCTGGTGCCTTAGCCGGTTGAGATATAGGCGCCGAGCCAGTTAGCAGTTTCTAAACCAGAGTTTGCCTATAACATAAATGTTTAAAAATTCTTCATTTTCACACCAGGCACTGGTGGCTCACTCCTATAATCCTAGCACTCTGGGAAGCTGAGGCAGGTGAACTGTTTGAGCTCAGGAGTTGAAGACTAGTGTGAGCAAGAACAAGACCCTGTCTATACAAAAAATAGAAAAACTACCAAGCATGGTGGTGCAAGCCCGGTAGGCCCAGGTAGTTGGGAGGCTAAGACAGGAGGATCAATTGAGCCCAAGAGTTTGAGGTTGCTGTGAGCTATGATGCTATGACACTTAACCCCAGGATAACCAAGTGAGACTCTGTCTTAAAAAAATAAAAAATTCTTCATTTTCTCCTGAAAGAAATGCTACTGAAATAACACTTATTTTTGGAGTTAGAACTGAGTTTGGATCTTTGCTGTTGTGCTTTGTGAGCATTTCCTCTACTTTTTACTAGAAAATCTGGGAACATAACCAGTTCTTATAAGGTTTGCTGGGATAACTAAATTCATATGAACAAATACTATCTGTAAATTCCACTAAATGTAGTTCTCTAATTCCCAAATCCAAAAGTGTACTCTAATTTGTAATGTAATCTGTAATAAGAAAAATGGAGGCTCGGCACCTGTGGCTCAACCGGCTAAGGCGCCAGCCATGTACACCTAAGGTGGCGGGTTCGAATCCCCAGCCGGGACCGCCAAACAACAATGACGGCTGCAACCAAAAAATAGCCAGGCGTTGTGGGCGCCTGTGGTCCCAGCTACTTGGGAGGCGGAGGTAGGAGACTCGCTTGAGCCTAGGAGTTGGAGGTTGCTGTGAGCTGTAATGCCATGGCACTCTACCCAGGGGGACAGCTTGAGGCTCTGTCT